CTTTTTCCTCCCTCAGCCACCTGAGCCCCTCGTCTAGACAGAGTCAAGAAGACCAGAGGCGGGATCGGGGCAGGGACGGTCGCGTCGCGAGCCCACGTCTAGGCAGGTCACCACACCCTCCCCCCTTTGAGTAGCCCGAACAACGCCTGTCGTACGCAGATATACCCCCCTCCCCCTGTTGGTCTAACGCATCTACCGTGTAGCTCGTCGTAGAGGCATATGCACAACCAACGCCACCACGAATTCTAGCCCAAGACCTTCGCGGACGGTCATACCAAAAGACGCAATCAACGCTCTCCAATGTTACGGTCAAGGGCGAGGAAGACTAGTTTATCTGTTGTTGTTGCTGTTCTCAGCCAGGATCGGCTCGACCCTGAGTCCATCTGAGCCCCGGGTTCATGCTGCTGGTAGCGCCCAAACATGTTCAAAGTCACGTGGCCACAGAACGGACAGGAAGCATTGGCCTTGCATTTACCGGCTCTGCCTGTGTCCAGTCACAGTACCGAGCAGGTCATATCGCCTAGTTTCCCCACAATTAGTTTACACCAGGGCATTTTGGCCTCAGTGCCTGTCGCCAAAAATAGGACTGGGGGTTTACTAAACCGAAAACAGTGCAATAATACATCAAGGTGGACAGACACGGACCGGGGAGGGAGCGGATAATACAGTAGTCGCCGGCTATTAAGCCCACCTCGGGCCCAGACCGAATTGGGCCTTAATAAGCGGCGATAGCACTAACCGGAGAGTCCTAGTTCTTGATTAGCATATACATTACACACGTACTGTATTATGTGTAGAGCTTGATTATGTACAAGAAAAGAATGGTGTTTGTCTGTGTTTTCGAGACCTAGGGAGGCTAACCAGATAACCTTGGTACTTAGGGAGGCTAGCCAGACGACCTTGGTATGCTTTGGGGTCACGCCTGTCGGCAGCTAGCCAGACGACCTTGGTATGCTTTGGGGTCACGCCTGTCGGCATCGTCCGGCGGGAGCCTGAACGCGTTGTCCCCTTTTTGTGTGTGTGTGTCCTCAGCGCTGCGGCTCCATTTTTGTGTGTGTGTGTCCTCAGCGCTGCGGTTCGGTTGCGTTAGCCTTTTGTTGTGTCCTCAGCGCTGCGGTTCGAATGGGTTAGCCTTTTGCGCCTGCGGCTTTCTCGTGTTAGGGATTTGTCCTTTCCAC